GCCCCGCTCGCTCTGCCCCTGGGTGAGCACTGGCAAAGCTCCCTGTGTCCTGGGAGAATCCTGGCAGGGCGCCCTGTGCCCTGGGGGAGCTCTGGCCCCCCTCTCTCTGCCCCTGGTTAAGTGCTGGCAAAGCTCCCTCTGCCCTGGGGGAGCATTGGCACAGCTGCTTCTCCTCTAAAAAAGCCCTAACCCAGCTGCTTCTCCCCTCATGGGGAGGCTCTGGCAAAGCTTGCTGTGCCCTGGGGGAGTCCTGGCACAGGTTCCCCTGCCCCATGGAATATTGGCACAGATCTCTTCACCCTGGGGAAGCCCTGGCACAGCTCCCCTGCCCCATGGAGCACTGGCACGGCTCTATCCGCAGCAGGGAAGCACCAGCATGGACCCCTCAGCCCTGGGAGAGCACTGGCACAGGTCCTACACCCCTGGGAGAGCCCCGCTGCAGCGTGGCAGGGCTCTTCAGCATCTTGCTGAGACATGGCAGCTCCTAGCGGTGTGTGAGGGATTTGGACTGCTGAGTGGAAGCAGGGCAGCTACCTCTGTCTTACAGAAAGGCTTTTACTTAGGAAGACAGAGCAGGGCTTGCAACTGGGTTCTGCAGTCAGACAGAGCTTCTGCCCTCCCCACCTGGCAACCAGCACAGCAGAGCTGCTGTACAACTCCTCACTCAAGCAGGTGCGAAAGCTTGGAGAGGGACACATGCTGCCAACACACAAAAGCAGCACGAGGTATTGCTGATCGCAGCCCTAATTCATCCCAACACCCTGCCAGGCTTTCCCAGGCAGCAGCAACACCGGAAGCCACAGACAGCAGTGGTGTGGTTAAGCTGGGCAGTGGAGCAGAGCACGGGGGATGCACTGGGTGACCTCAGCAGTGAGGCACAGAGCTGTAGAGGTGAGCTGGGCTGTGGGGCAGAGCTCTGGGTGCAATAGCCAGTGGGACACAGTGGCGATACTCAAGAGAGGCAGAGGGTTGCTCTGGGTGACCAGGCAGCGGGCATCAGCAGGGAGCAGGGATAACTCAAGCACGTCTCTAGCTCCTTCCTTGCTGCCCAGGCACAACGGCCATATGGATGGGATGGCCCCATGGTGTCCTGCAGCTCATCCCGGCCACACCACCCACCCTGTGCATTGCTCTGCTGCCTGCAAGGGGCTCCCAGGGGCGAGGGTCCCTCCTCAGCACAGGTCCCTCTCTATGCCCAGCACTGGAGTGCCCTCCCCCACAAGCCGTGGATACTGTTCCTCCCAGCCACGCTCTGGCCACCACCGTCTGAGTGGCCTCACTGCTGCTCTGGATCCACTTCTGGATCTGACCTGCCTGCTGGGGCCATGCTGCACCCCCTGGGGCTGGCTCTTGGGGGATGAGGCAGCCATGGCCAGGTGGTGGGGAAGGGCACCCAAAGGCCTAGAGGTGATAGGGCCAGGAATTGGCAGACACTGGACCTTCAGATGAGGTCCCTCCTGGAAGGGAGGACTGGCAAAAAGTGGGCACCGCCACACAGGTCTTTGGCACAGGAGAAGCCTAAATGCTGACCTGGCAGTGACTCTTTTGAGTGGTCTTCCCTGGCCTGGGCTCTTTGAGGTGTCCCAAGGTGATGGAGAAAGTCCTCAGCAGAGGGGCTGGGAGGGAGCTGGGGAAGCGCTCCGTCTCTGACTGGGTGCAGCCGACCACCAGCAGCCTGTTTCTCTGTTCTCCTTGCTCTGCACACTCATGGCTGGACCGAGCACCAGGATGCTCTGCGGCATCAAGCCTCTGCACCAGCAGCAACCAGAGGTCAGCTTGGACCTGGGTCTCAGAGCTAGCCTGACGGAGATAGTTTATCTCCCTCTCTCCTGCCCGGAGAGCAGGCACTTCGTCTGAGATGATTTGACCCACAAAATCCTTAGTTTTCCTGGCACAACACTGGCTTCAAAGGGGTGACAGAGCTGAGCCTCCTGCTGTGCCTCCCTGTGCATTGACGCCATTTCCCTGTATTTCCCCTACGCAGATGGCTACGCAGGCAGGTCAAAAGTTTTCTATTCCATCCCCAAGTTTTTGTAAGTCAAGCTCAGCCCTCTCAGAGGTAAAGCAGCCTCCACCCTATGAGGATGCAGTAAAGCAGGTAACCGCATGATTTTTATTTTCTATAGGGCTAGGGCTGCTCAGGGTGTTCTTCTGTGGTTAATGTAACTCATCTGCAGGAGTTACAACTCATTATGGGGTCTCTGGGTAGCACAGGCTTGTTTCCCTAAAGAACAGGCTTTTCTTGAAGAGTTAGTTGCTGGATGACTGCCACAAAGCAGTTAGACACCGTGCTGGATGGGTTAGTGTCTGCTGTGCTGGTGGAAGGCTCAGGTCCACCCTGGGGTCCTGACATCACACACAAACACCCCAGGAGTTTGGTGTACTCTTCCTCTGGATGCCCAGTGCTGTGTGAGAAACAGACTCTTGAGCATTCCCAAGTCACCAGGAAACCTCATCTTCCCTCTTCAGCCCATTAGCAAAGTGCCCTGCTCCATCACCTGGCGAGACACTGAAATGGATTGCCCAGGGAAGTTGTGGATGCCCCTCCCTGGAAGTGTCCAAGGCCAGGCTGAATGCGGCTTTGGGCAGCCTGGTCTCGTGGAAGGTGTCCCTGCCCATGGTGGGAGGTTGGAGCTAGATGATCTTTAAGGTCCCTTCCAACTCAAGCCATTCTACGATTCTACAATTCTATAGTTCTATGATATCTGCCTCCCTTAGCCTTGCCCTAGAGCACCGGCCTCACCGAAGGAATGTCTCCATCGCCCAGGAACCCCTACTTCTTGTGAGCATCTGTCAACAGCCTCAGGGATTGTCATGACGGTGCCTTTAGGAAAATGGAATGATGTTGACAGTGAAAAAAATGGGCTTATGCTGGCAGTTAGCGAGGTGTGAAGAAAGTCCTTCCACTCTCCGGCCAGGGAGAGGAGGATGCCAGTGCGTTGACCCCAGGGAGCTGCAGGGAGCACAAGGAAGCACGTGCTAGTGCGAGGTGCTGGGTCCAAAAATCAATGTATCCTGATGGCCGTGAGAGGAGAGAGTCTGTGGTGGCTGCTGAGCACAGAGTCAGCAGCAAGGCAGGGGGAACCTGGCACCACGCTCCCCAGATCCGCCGTGCTTGTCCCAGGTCCCTGCAGTGCTCACCCGAGTGCCTGTTGGGAGTGGCAACTCTCCTGCATGGGAGAAAGCCACCCCCCCCAGCCTGTGGCTGGAGGGACTCTCCTCCTAATGTCCTCTACTCTCCTCTTTGTCCTTTGCTGCAGCAGATGACGCGAAGTCAACAGATGGACGAGCTCCTGGACGTGCTGATTGAGAGCGGAGGTACACACTGCTTCCCTGTTCCCCTCCAGGCTTCCCCTCCAAGCCAGCGTCAGTCCGTGGGGCTCAGTGCGCTCTGTGCACCCCAGCAGAGCTGCCTGAGTTGAGAACAGCTTTCATTTGCTCTCCCTGTGCCAGCAGCCACCAAGACTGAATCCAAAAGCCCTCCCAGGGCCTGCTCCTGCATGTGCAGACCCAGTAGGGTGGTCCAGGCCTGGTTGTCCCCCATGCAGGCTGCGCAGAGAGAGGGGCAGTGGGGCAGCCGTGCTGTGCACAGCACTGCCAGCACCCTCCCCATGCAGAGACCCCTGTGTCCCCCCCATTTCCAGCGCTGCCAGTGCCGCCTCCCCTGCAGCGCACTGCCCGTGCCCTCCCCTGGGCAAAGTTCTGCCTTGTGCCCTTTCCCGTGCTCAACCCGTGCCCAGCCCTGTGAGGACAGCTGCCCGTGCTCATGCCCTAGGGACTGTGTCCAAAACCAGGGGACCCGAGGTCAGAGAGCAGGAACGTGTGAGGATTCCCACAGGGAGGGTGGGCGAGCAATGCCGAGGGCATGGACTGGGAAGTGATTCTTTGTAGGCATGCCCAAGAGCCCCGCTGGGAGGCTGTGGTGGTGGTCCTGTGCCCAGGGTGCTGCCAGAGCCCCTCAAAGTCCTCCCATTTATTGACAGAAATGCCAGCCAATGCCAAGGAAGATCGGTCCTGCCTCCAGAAAGTACCTCAGATAACAGTGTCTACAGGGAACTCCAGCGCTTCGCTCCCGAAGTCGTCCACCCCGTTCGAGCAGGTCCCCTCCGGGCAGCTCTCCTTCGAGCACTGTCCAGGCAGCAGCGATGCTCACCTCGAGGTCCTGCTCAACACCCACAGCCCCCTGGGGAGGGTCAGCGAAATCGCCCTGCTGAAGATGGGGGGAGAAGAGTCCCACTTCGAAGGGATGATGGAGGGCTTCTCCGGCAAAGCCGCAGATGAACTGCTCACCTCCCAGGAGATTTTACAGACTCCCCTCTCGCCCATGGACACCCAGCTCTCCCCTTCCCCTGCCGATGGCTCTGGTTTACATATGAGTTTCACTGAGTCTCCGTGGGAAACGATGGAATGGCTGGACCTCACACCCCCCAGCTCTGCCACCGGCTTCGGCTCTCTCACCCCTGCAGGTCCCAGCATCTTCAACATTGATTTCCTAGATGTTACTGATCTCAATCTAAACACCAGCATGGACCTGCACCTGCAGCAGTGGTGAAAGGGAGGGTGGTAGAGGCAGGATACCGCAGCAGCCAGCACAGCATTTCTGTCACGCTGGAGAACACGCAGGGCTAATGTGTCCAGGGGAAAACAGAGTCGTTCTCCCACTGTATAAACTTGCTTGATTTTCTAGTTACTACAAAGTGACAGCACAACAGCTCTGGTACTTTGGTTTTCCTCCGTTGACATGTCCCCACAGAGGACACCAGTGCCTTTAACAACACTTCTTTAGATTGACAAGAACTTTGATTTTGTTTCTTTTGTCTGTTTCTCCCCCTGTTTTAGCAGTCACTCTCGTGAGAACTGGAGCAGCTCAATGACAAAAGTGTGTGGTGAGGAGACCTCACCTGGGTGGCAGTGGGGAATCATGGAGAGGAGAGCCCATTGCTCTCTCCTCTCCT